CCGCGTCTTCGTTTAACGCCTCGACCCTTCGACCTCTTGCGCGCATCACCGCACGATGCGCGCCATACGCCCGATAATCGGTCCTCATCGATCCCTTTGTCCCTTGACTCTATTGGTTCTCCTGACGACCATGGATCCCAACCATCCAACCCAATGCAGTCACCTGCACGCCATATCCAGCCATCGTCCATTCCTAGCCTTCCCCGTCTTCGGAACTCTGAATGCCACGCCCGTTTCTTCCTCGTGCACGGCCCACAACATTGGCTCGCCTTTTGTGCCTTTGTTTTGCGTAGTCTTTTGGTCCGACACTTCTTAGCCTTGAACTCGGCCCGTGGACCACACCCTTTCGGCCATTCTCTCTTGCATGACGGTCGATAAATCCGGCTTGATGGCTCTTCCAACATGTTCTCTCACCAAATATCGAGACCATCGCCATCCTCGTCGTCTGACTCACCGGGGTTTATAACCACTTCCGTATCAGGCGCGTGCTACGTCGAGGTGTACGCGGGTAGACTGGATGTGCGCTGGCGTGCGTGTTGACGTGCATTGTGCACGTCTATGCGCATAACTGCGGCATCGCAAGGGTTTGACTGCCGAGTACTGGGCATGCATGTGCGTTACTGGGCACGCAGACGCTGCCTACGTACTCGCTGGACCTGTCGGGCGTGCCTGTGCGCACGCTGTGTGCGGTAGGCGTCTCGGTCGGCATTTCACCGGCCGTCCGACGACTTTTTCCGGCAACCCACATATGACTGATCATGTTTTGACTTATCTTACTTAAATACGCATAAAGTGTTCGGGACTTGTCGGTTAGATTTTGAAATTACTCGGAGAGGGCTTATATAGAACCTCCGAGGCCATTTTCGTACAAAATATAAACCGAACGACATGATTTCGACATGACTTCGCTGATATGAACTTAACTACATAAAAAGAGGGTAAAGGAATGTATACCCTTCAGCTTGGTCGAAGAGTGCACGGTGATGTGCGTGCGTATTCGGTGCTTCAATTGGTGTGCGAGTACTCCTCCCTTGTCTTGCCTTTCCTTAGCTATTTTTGTATAATTTTTCTCTTATTTTACCTTACTGTTTTCTGTCTATTTGGTACGCTGAAGTTGGGCTGAAATTGCATGAAAATGCATGGGGAAAATGTCCCACACGCTCGATTATTTAAAGGGTAAAACCGTGAGGTAAAATTGGAGTCAAAGGGGTAGTAGATGACATTGCTTCCCTCAGCAACAAGTGTCCCAAACGTGGCTGAGGTGTTGGGCATTTTAGATTAGTCATCGGCTGAGGTGTCAAGCATGCACGGGCTTAGTCATCGCCCGTGCGTGCGTGTTGCGCCATGTGTGCAAGCAAGTAGGTGACTCACCATACCACTTGCACACCTAACATTTATCCTTAGTAATTCCACACGGTAATCTTAGGAAGAGAGTTTAGGCTTGATCATATTGCTAAGCATTACCTAAGTGCGCGCTTAGTGGCCTAATGATGCGCGCATTATGCTCTGTGCGCGGTGATGCGCACTGCGCGCGTTCGTGTGCGCGGCTACGCGTACGGCTGCGTGCAACGTGCGCGTACGCGTGCATACATGGTGCACCTTGTGTGCTTTCATGACTTAACCTTGGTTTCGACTTTGAATTTAATTCCGAACATGTTTAACTATTAATAATTAATCCCGATTAATAATGTCCGTTTATAAAATAAACGGTTCAGAAATTAATTATCGATTTTGACTCGGTTAATAATTAACCGAATAAACTTTTGGCTTAAAGTCAAACTTATTTACTTGAACGCTGAAAATGAACGAGATCAATAAAAGAAAATACATCATTTTTATTAACAATAAGTTGGGTTATTACATTGGGCGCGCCTACCGACCCTAGTGAGGCGCCGCCACTGTCTGCTATCATGATTAACCGTCGTTACCCAACAAGGGTGGTTGGCACGTCTAGGGCAGTACTTGCCGCAAAGGTACTGAGACCAAAGCGACTTTCCCTCCCTAAAACAACACCACAACTTGTAGGAGAAGACATTAACAATATCCCTGAGGCGGCGGATGCCCAGGCCAACCTCAGAGAAAGGGCGGCAGATAGAGTCCCAACTCCCCTAGTGGGTGCGTCTCCCCCTCCTAGAACCATCCTCGTAACATCAGAAATAACGAGCCATAATCTGGTCAATCTCATCAAGAGTAGACATAGAGGGGTCGAGGACTATAAGTAAATGAAGCGGAAGGGAGCTAAGGGTGCTCTTGATCAGAGCAAGCCGACCACCGAAAGAAAGATGTCTATGCGACCAACCAGAAATCCTATCGATCATCCTCTGCCTGATGTCCGCAAAGAGTGCTCTCGTGGGGTTGCCCTTATATAAAGAGGCACCGAGGTAAGTAATGGGAAGGTCTCCGTGTTGGAATTTCGACGTACGAACCCAGTGTACGCGCAGCGGAATTTTAAAAATTTTCTTACAAACAACGAAGATCCGCCTAATAGCTATTCGATATGATCCTAGATAGCGTGAATGATACACGAAAACTTACAGTTATTCAGTCTTGTCCTCGACTATGGTATCCACGCAATCTAGTTTCTCGATGCACGATCTAACGCCAATGAATCCCTTCCAGTGAAGAAGCTAGGAGTCCTCGATCCGGAAAGCTAGAGAGTGTTTGTCTTGATATTGATCTCTCAATCTCTAAATGTATGGGATCTCTTAAAGTTTTTCTCTCTTTCATCATCTATCGATACATAATTATGAAGAGACAATGAGATATTTATAATTAGGTCAAAACCTAATTATATGGGCCTTAGGATACCCTACAGCCCAATAGGTAATTGGACCTTTTTTTTTCCAAGATATCATGACTCATATTAATAGGCCAATCGGCCAACAAAGAACAAAGTTCAGTACAAAGCCTTAATAATGAGAGACTACACACACAACAATGTAACCTAATCGAAGCACAAGATAAAAACACTACAATGACCAACACTGCAAACACCCGAGAACAGAAACAATACACTTGAAAACTAATTTAAGCTAAAAACCAAACAAGAATACACCACTGACTCAAGACCTAGCATATCCCCATTTGAATCAGCTAAATTTCTTGAAACTCCCTCCATTCTTGTACTGCCCTGTCAATGATTGTCTTTGCAGCCATCTCTTTGCTTTCAAATACCCACAGGTTCCTCCCCTTCCATAGCCACCACAATATATAGGTGCTTAACTGAATTCTGTCTTCAGAAGTCTCCTTAAAGTCCATTGAACTCAGCGACCACCACCATTCTTTGAAACTGAAGTCCTCCTCCTCGGCTGGTTTCTGCCATTGAATAGGAGCCAACCTCCAAGTTAATCTAGCTTTAGGACAAAAGAACAGAGCATGTACCACTGTTTCTTCATTTTCCCCACAACACTTGCAAATTGTATCAATCACTATTCCTCTTCTCTTCAGATTGTAGTTCACAGGTAGTATATTAGTAAAGCATCTCCAAATAAAAATCTTGAGCTTACCTGTTACTTTGAGATTCCAGCACCTCAATCTTGCTCTCTTATTGTTCTGGGCTAGATTATTTGTTTCAGCACAATGGTTCATACTCCATTCTATACTGCAGAACTCCTCATAAGCCTTCTTAACTGGAAACCTACCTTTATCAAAAAAGGTACATTTCCTCAGATCTGCAACTCTGGGATTAAGGGAGTTAATGGCCATGATTTTCTCAGCCACTGCAGGTTGAAATAATGCTTTCACCAGCACTTCATCCCAGCCCTTGCCATTATTAATCAGAAGATCTTTAACCCTGAATTGACTGTGATCTAAATGCACCCTTGTTTCAGGTTTCTCCCCTCTCATCAAAGGGATCCACCCAAACTCATCAAGCCTTGTATCAGCTCCATTCTTAATCACAATACTCAAATGATTTTTCAGCCAAGGAATTAAAGCAGACCAAGAACTCCAGAGCCAAGAGACACCAGATTTTTTAGAATAATCAAAGATAGAGCAAGAAGGGAAGTACCTGGACTTCAACACTTTGCTAATCAACATCTCTGGTTTCTCATAAATCCTTCATTATTGTTTAATAATAAGAGCTTTGTTGCAGGACTTGATATTCTGGAATCCCAGACCCCCATTCTGCTTAGACCATGTCATCTTCTCCCAAGCCAGCCAATGGACCCCTTTGTTGTTTCCCTCCCCTTTTTTCCACCAGAAATCAGCCATCAATCTACTTATTTCCTTACAAATCCCAGATGGCAACACAAAACAGGACATGACAAAGATTGGCAGTGCATTCAATACTGCCTTGATCAAAATATCTTTTCCAGCAGTAGACAAAAACTGATTCTTCCAACTGCTAATTCTACTCCTGACAGCCTCCACCACAAACTGAAAAGCTTCAATCTTTGATGCCCTAATCCCCAGGGGGAGCCCTAAATACCTAGAAGACCTCTTCACAATTACCCCTGGTAAAATAGAACAAATCTTTTCTTTCAAGTCAACTGAACAATTTTTGCTCAAGAACATGGAAGATTTATGGAGATTCACTTTTTGACCAGCAAACTCTTGATATTTCTGCAATACCCTCATCAGAATGTTGGCATGATGTTTATCTGCTTTGCAAAAAAGAAGAGCATAGCCTGCAAATAGAAGGTGTGTGATCATTGGTCCATCCCTTGATAGTTTGATCCCCCTAAACAAGCCCTGACTCACCTGGTGAGCAATCCCCACTGAAAACAATTCAGAAACCAAAATAAAGAGATATGGTGATAATGGATCACCTTGCCTAATTCCTCTCGAAGGGGAGACATAACCAGAAACATTGCCATTCAGGTTAAATGAGAAAGTAGAAGTAGAGACACATGCCATAACCCATCTTATAAATTTTGAGTGAAAGCCCGTCTTCTGCATAGTCATCCTGATGCAATTCCACTCCACACGGTCGTATTCTTTTTCCATGTCGATTTTTAAAGCCATAAAAACATTTTTACCTATTGTGTCTGTGCAGGAAGTGAAATATCTCATGGGCTATCACCACATTGTCTAGGAGTTGCCTCCCAGGAACAAAAGCAGTCTGAGCTTCACTGATACACCCATCTAAGCACCCTTTTAATCTTTCAGCTAACACCTTAGCCACAATCTTATACAGAACCCCACAGAGACTTATTGGTCTATAACTAATCAGTTGTTCAGGGTACAAACATTTAGGGATCAGAGATATCACCGAGTGATTCCAGTTTTTCAGCATTGTACCTGTTTTAAAGAAATCAGACACAGCTTTGCACACATCCTTTTTCACCAAATGCCAGAAGTGCTGAAAGAACACAACAGTTATCCCATCTTCCCTTGGAGACTTATCAGGAGCCATACTAAAGAGTGCTTCATGAATTTCTTTCTCACTGACCTGTCGGATTAATTCATTGTTAGCAGCATCTGAAACAGTCTGGGGAATATGACTGAGTAGCTCATCCCCCCTATTAGATCCTTCAGATTTGAAAAGAGAAGAGTAGTAATTTACAATGTGTTCCTCCAACTTCTTCGGTTCAGTAATCACCTCACCAGTCCCAGACACAAGCCTCAAAAAAAAATTTCTCTTTCTCCTCTGAGCAGCAAAGGCATGAAAAAAACGAGTATTTTTGTCGCCAACTTTAAGCCATAGAGCCCTAGACTTTGCCCTCCAATATTGTTCTTCTTCCATGTAAGCCTTATCTAGATCACATTTTGTGGAGCACCATGTAACCCAATCCTTCTCCCTGCCCTCTTCTCTCAATTTTTCCATTTTGGCTGTAAGGGTTTGGATCAGTTTTTCATTGTTCCTCTTCACTGGGTTGTACCAGGATAAGATTGCCTTTTTAGTATGTTTCACTTTCTGATGAGCTTTAAACATTTCAGAACCCTCACTATCCATTTCCCATCCTTTGGCCACAGCTTCTTCAATACCCTCCATCTTCAACCAGTTTCTATCAAAAACAAATCTCCTTCTAGATGATTGTAGTTCTATTTCAGTGTCATACAGGATTACATTATGGTCAGATTCACTTCTGAAAAAGTTAGACACCTCCATCTTAGGGAATTTCAGCAACCACTCCTGAGATGTAAAGACTTTATCCAACCTCTCCTCCACATAGCCATCCCCTCTCCTGTTATTCCCCAAAGTAAACAATGCTCCCTTCTGATCTTGTTCTTGCATTTCCATGTCCACAATAAAATCTCTAAAGGGTAAGAAACTGTTTTCTGATCTTACAAGCCCACCCCTTTTCTCCTCATTGCTCACAATTTCATTCCAATCCCTGCAATTGCCCAACAGCTCCCCCAATCCCCCTTCATATCCAGCAAAAACTCCCATTGCATAATCCTCATATTTCTGTCAGTGCTGACGTACACAAAAACCAACCAACACCATTCACTCATACCAGGGCCCCTGACTTCCACCTGAATACAAAATTCATTTCCTTCAAGCTTTCTGATTTCAACCTCCTGATCCCACATCAATAAAAGGCCACCTTTGCTCTTCTCAAGCTCCTGCAAGTGCCATCTATCTTGGAACCCCAGCTTATTACATACAGTTTTAGTAAAATATTTGTTTTTTTTTTGTTTCAGATAAAAAGATAATATGTGGGTGGTGGATTCTTCTTGAATCCTTGATTTGGGAAACTGTACAGGGCCCACCCAGCCCTCTACAGTTCCACATCATGACCTTTATTGGTCACATTGGGGCCACTCCAGGCTGGCCTTCTACACCTTCTTTGAAGTTAATTTAACTCTCTTTCCCATCTGTTCTTCCTCCTTGTTTTTAAATTCAACCACTTGAAGATCTTGCTCCTTATCTCTCTCCCTTTTCCAGCCACTGAAAGATATGGAATTCCCTTCAATCACCGGACTTCTCATTAGCCTACCAGCTTTTGCTGCAGCTCTTCTCCATGTTCTCCTGCTATCAGCCAGCAGCACTTCAGCTTCAACTCCAACATCTATCAATGGAGAATTAGCTTCTTCTATCACCATAATATCACTCTTCTCTTCACCCTCTTTCCTGATCTCCACTTCAGCAATCTCCTCTTCCTCACCCAAAGGAGACACCATCACCAACTCCATAGATTGACCACTCTCTTTAGCACTAAGAGCTTTATAAACAGAAGAGCCACCTTCTCTATTCTCCCCTTTCTCAGAATGTGGTGGATGCCTCGAGGTACTAGCTGCAGCATTGGTATCCATTTTAGGATTTGGAGCATGAGAACTCTCTTTAGGTTCTGAGCCACTATTAACCGAATGTCTGTTCCCATAGATGAAATTAGCAGCTTTAAGCCAGTCCCCAAATTGCCCTTCTTGCAGACATCTGTTTTCAATATCCATCAGCCGAGTTTCACAATTTTTATCAAGATGGCCAATACACCCACAATAGTAGCACAAATTAACTAAACGTTCATATTTGAATTGAACCATCGTCTGTTGATCCTCGAGCTTCACCACTGTACATCGAGGCAATGGCTCCTTCGTATTAATGGTTGCCAATAGCTTAATGAAGCTGCCCTCGTCCCCTCCTAATCTGCAGATAGCAAGGAAATAAATAGCTCGCTAAAGTTGCCGCTATTTGAGAAATAGCTTTTTTGGCAGCGTGCCGCTATTTGTATTCATGTGCAATTTAGCCGCTAAATCCCGCTAAATCTCCGCTATAGCTACAGAGCCATAAACGTTTTAGCCCGCTATTTAAAACCTTGGCAGATAGTGACATTCTTTACCCCCTCAAACACCTCCCCTATTTTCAACCCAACTTCACTGCTCATCCAGTTAAAAGGGACATTTAGTACATGAACCCACAAGTTCACTTGGTCGAAACTTCGATGCCTGCTGGTTAATCCCCTCCGTCATTCTCTTAAAACCAGATATTGATTCTCAAATAGCCAACTATGCCCCGCCATAACCCTTTTCCTATCATCTTCCGAGGAGAAGATGAATTGAAAAAAATTTGTTTCCAGTTCACGAACCTCTAATCTTTGGTGAAGACGCCAAATTGCACTCATAGCACGCTTAACCCCCAGAAGTGAAGCCTTACGGTCACCAATCACTTTCCCAAACAAACTATTCATGCATTCCTCCTCACTCGACGCAATGTCTCTGCGCTGTATTTCGACACCCCCAGATTCTTTAACAGTTAACGAGAACTTCTGGAGCTTTTTAGTAACCTCATCCCCCAGATCCCCCGGATCCGCCATAAACAACAACAAAAATTCAGAGAATTTCACTATGAAAATCGGATCTCCTTCACCAAATGAATAAAATCACTCCCACCTGAGAGAATCGCACCCACTCCCACCTGAGAGAATCAATCCATCTTATCTTAAGTTTCACATAATCAAATATTTTCCATCAAATAGAAAATTATCTCATCACCAATTAAGTATAAATCCAATTTAATTGAATTAAATATTTTCCATCAAATAGAAAATAATTTCATTACTCATAAATAAATATTCAAATACAATTGAATATTTAGCACTCTCGATTCAGTCTTAGTCGGAAAACTGATTGCTTATTGTGTGACCCTATAGGCCTTCATATATTGACATAAATCTAATTTATGATCCTTACAGAACTCCTAGATTGCGTCGAGGAACGAACTCAAAATATGAAGTACGTTTACATGGACAAGCAAACAAACCTTTAGTGTAGAACTCAATAGTTGTACGGTCCCTTCATTCACGAACCACTCGATTAAGCTTAAGATTTGAACGTATGTCTATCCAAACAGCTTAATCATTTTGTCTCATCTCACTGGTTGATTTTATCAATTATATTTGAACACCATTTCAAATATAATAACGTGCATTGGCCAATGACTTTATCAACCCATTATAGAGAAAACGAGTGTTCTCTTAAAACTATATTTGAGGAATGAATCCTATCTTGGCTCAACTACCAATCTCATGTATATCGTGATCTACCCATCATGAGCCCGTGTCTACCCATAAGGGCGTAAGCGTTGGACTAGGTCTAAGTAGATCACTCTATACATGAATTGCATATTGACCTCAAGTCAAAGGACTATTACACTATTCCACACATTGATACTCCCATAGACACATAAACAAATGGTTTATCGGTAGGGTATGCTAATACTCTCCAAAGTATCCATGCGTCCATCACGAATAACAATTATTCATAGTAGTTAGACATACTATATTCTCCACGAATATGATGCAGACCACATGTCAATCTATCAAGTATCATTAATATCCCTTTCTTAATGATCATTGATTGAGGCGATTTGAGAGTTATACTTTATCAGTTAACATCTCACTCTGTTAATGACAATATCAACTCAAGGGAGCAATTAATTAATGAATTGCAAACAATCAAATAATTATTTAATTAATTGCAATACCATAATTACAATCCAATATAATTGTTAATGTAATCATGCATATATGTCCTTAAAATGATTGTCTCTAGGACACATATACCAACAATCTCCCACTTGAACTAGAGGCAATCACCAATGTATCTAATACATATTTTCTTAAAATGACTATTGTGCTCAACTATGCACAATAGTTTGGTGAACGAACCATTCAAGTAATGTTCAGTTGAACAAATTCTAACTTATTTCTCTTCTATCAATTATCTCTAAATAAATGATAGCGCCTTTGTACATGTTTATTTTGTTGTTAGATCTTGGTTCCTTTGCCTGTGCAATTGCACCCGTTTATCATAATATGTAGATATTAGATAAATGAAACTTGGAAATACCCCTAGTTCATTTAAGAACTCATGTATCCAAACAACCTCCATAGGCTTTTAATGCAACAATGTACTCGGCATTTGTGGTTGAATTCATAGTGGTTTACTTCTTGGAACTATTCCAACCCACTGTTTCATCATTGAAATGAATATAAGACTATTAAATTATTATTCCTACAAGAGAATAAAATATATTCTTTAGTCCATCTAATGTACTAAAGATAGTCTTAGCAGTCTTCCAATATAGCTCCCAGGATTTTATTGGAATCTATAGGTGATACTAAGTGCATAAGTCATATAGACCTCGTACATGTCATAACATGCATGATAGACTCTATCGCATAAGCGAATGTAATCTTCTTCATGCACCCAAGTTTGGCATCAACTGAAAGACAATCTTTCTTTGCCAACTTGATGTCAGGTCCATTGGAGAAGCACTTCAGTACCATGACTATACACATGGACCATGAAACTCTAACACTCTATTAGATCTATCTCGATAGATCATAATTTCAAGAGTATAGCAGTTTCACTCAAACCCTTCACAAAGAAGGTACATGGTAATCAATCTTTCACGGACTGCAGGTGAGGGACATCATTCCATTATCAATATGCCACATACATATATTATAAAAATAATATTATCCTCATTGTGTTTACTATAAACGCATAGATCTTTTTTACTTCTCACAAAGGCAAACAATTATATAACTTTGTAGAAAAAGATATTCCAACTCCCAGAGGCTTGCCTAAGTCCACTATTGGACCTTTGTAACTCGCATACTAATTTTAAATTTGACTTGGATAAGAAACCTTTAGGTTGTATCATATATACATCCTCCAATTTTCCATTAAGGAAAGCGATTTTAACATCCATCTGTCAAATATCATAGACATAGTATGCAATTATTGCAAGTAAAATCTGAATGGACTGAATTTTGACAAGTGATGAAAAGGTCTCATCATAGTCAATGCTACACGTTGACTATAACCTTTAGAACCAATAACCTTATAGGTTTGTACTTTGCCCTTTGCATCTGTTTTCTTTTGAAAACTCATTTGAATCTAATAGGTCTAACCTCAATTGGCAAACCAACCAAGTTCTAAACTTGATTCATGTACATTCAGTCCATTTATGATTTTATGGCGTCAATCCACCTCTCTGAGTCCATCTCTTACATAAAATCAGTGTAGGTCCGAAGATCATCCTCATTAGGAATCTCTACATTATCGTGATCCTACAAGAGGAAAAACAATATAATTGGTTCACGACAAGTTCTAGTCAACCTATGGAGTTTTACAATTTGTATTTGTTGTTAGACATTTTGATCATGAAGAGATTCTTGTACATTGGTATTTCTCAAACGATTGGAGGGTTCTCAAAAATCACGTTTGTATGCGTTTATTGAGAATGAAGGACATCCAAGCCATTAGGTATTGATTGTACATGAGTGTGTTGCACTTCTGCAATTTCATCCATATTACTCCCACTAGCTAGAGTTGTCCGTCAAATGACAAATTTCTATTCAGGGAATCACCAATACCTCCGTATAAATCATTGTCAATACTAAATGACAATTCTTGAACCTCAATGTTATTTTGAATTTCTTGAACTTTTCAAGTTCTATCACAACACGTCCTTGTTCCTTAAAGAAATTTATTCTCCTGGAAACTTTGTCTATCTAAAGACAATTACTCTATTTTCCCCAGGAAGATATAAATAGTATCCTCGTGTTGGATAGCCTTCAAAATAACATTCTTCACTTTCAGATTCCAATTATCAGTTAAAATTTTCTTCACATATGCTAGACAACCCTAGGTTCGCATATGTTAAAGACAAGGCCTCTTGCCACGTCATGATTCATATGACGTCTTTACAACTGACTTCAATGGAACTTTATTCAGAATGTAAATCGAGTTCAATAACATCAATGATATGTGGAAGAGTGGTGAAACATAACATGGATCTAACCATATCTAAGAAGGTTGGATAGCTCCTTTCGAAGGCTCCATCAAATGAGTCCTAGGAGATATCCATTACAATGTGGAATCTATAAAATTTCAAGTAATAAAGAAACTTCACACTCAAGTATTCTTCTCCTTGATCAAATCAAAAAGATACTTTAGTCATGTTGTTTCTCTAATCCAAACTTATACTTCTTGAATTTTCTAAGGCTTCGATTTGTGTTCGTAAGACACACATAACTCAACCTTTAAAATCATTAGTAAGATGATGGAGTACGAAAAACCTCTTCTAACTTGAGTTTCAGAAGGTCTACATTCATCAATGTAGATCAACTCAAACATTCTTTTGGTTTGTATCCCTTTCCAAAGAAAAGGACTTATTGTCATCTTTCCTTTATGACAAGATTCACAATTTCCATACGACTCAAAGTCGAATGGAGTTAAGTAATCTAATTTACTTAACCTTGTTATTCTCGTCTTACTGATGTGACCAAGTCTACAATGCCATAAGAAGGTGGAGGTTTTCGTATTACTTTTAAACTTTTGTTTAAATTAACAAAATCTTATGCAGTGTTCCCAACACCGTATGCCTTGAAACACATGCAACATCTCTTTCAACGCCCTTTTCTTTGCAGAAAATTCATCATTGAACAATTTCAGCTTTTGTTCATCCTTCCCTTAGGCTTATAGGTTGTAGGTCTAGAAACAATTTCAGCCTCTTTTCTACTTACTCTTACCATTGGTACGATTTAACAGAAGAACTCACTATGAGCACAACCTTCCCTTAGAGTGAATGAATTGTAAGTCTTAAGCATGTGCTACTAAGGCATCATAGTCCTCGTATCAATTCATATAAAAATTCACAATGAAGTTAAAATATGAAATTGGAGCGACAACAAGATGATATTCGCAGCGACACGATTATGGAGCTTTATTCCAACCAAAGTCAGACTCCCAATCAGTCCAATCGTCTCCACGACATGCACAAAGACTTTATCCCATCATGTAGCCTGCATTTGAAGAAATTTTCCAACAGTTCAAGCTCCAAAGTTTGAAATTGAGGGTCATAAAGTCTCTTTAAATGCTCCCACATTCATTGGGATTCATCTTATCATATTGTCTCTTCAACCCATTTGACATAGAGAACAACACGACACATTACACTGAAATTTTATCATCCTAATACTTGTTATGGGTATCATGGTCAAACACATAGTACCCAAAAAGTCTTATTAGGTACAATAGGCGCCTTTGTATCAAACACACATTCAACTCGTTTTTATCATAACAACAACCACAAAAGGTGCAATCAATCTAGATAATTTGGTCCAGTCAACTTATTCATATACATCATATATTTCAATGGTAAATTTAAAATTCTATTCAACCCAGAGAAATGTAGAACAGGAATATAAAATAACTTGGTCACATTTATTAACTAAATTAACATTGCTTTTAATTAATTTAGATGCCACTATTTTCACATACTCTACGACCCCTTCAGAGGAGT